CCAATTTTTTAAATCTACATTCGTACATGTTAGCAAAAAGAAAATGCTTTAGAGAATCATAACTGAACCCTAAATCAACGTTTTTAGCCATAATCAATCTAATCCTCTGCTTTCAAGCTACAGCATGAGAAAATTGGTTATCTATTAAGGGTCACTGGCTGTATAGAGTTTTGATTCATTTGTACACTCCTTCATCACTTACTTCTGAAATACGAATTTGAGACCTACTCGACTCCGCTAAGGCAAAAATTAGTAAATCGTTAACTTCAGTTCCATGGCGTTATTGGCGGAATAACGGTTGACGGAGTATCCTTGCCACTTTGGGCTTTTTCGGGCAGTTCTCCGGAATGTGAGGGTGCTCCTGCACCACCGCAACCCACCGTGCGAGGTTACATGTTCCGGTTGGTCTCACTTCCAAATATACGAAATCATTGATTTCCGATTAAATCAAGTCTTATTGGAATGTAAGAAACTTATAGTGACGGCTTTGCTCAAATGGAACTTGCCACATTCGAACGTACCGTTTCGTCAATTTCTGTCATATTCAATGCTTACTCACCGAACGGTTTACTGTACTTCCGCGGATCTGAAACTAGCGGTGATTTCATCGCACTGCAGTTGAAGGACGGTCATGTGGTGTTCAAGGTTTGCTCAATCTTTTATATAGAGTAACGCCTAGCAAATATATATTTTAGATAAATCTTGGAGGATCCTCTCATGCTGAGCTCACTTCAAAAAATCCTTACGCTGACGGGCGTGAGCATACGGTGAAGGCGATACGCAGCGGCGGAGAGATCCACCTCCAAGTAAGAAAAAGTGCTTCAACAATCGGATATCTTTATTTACTGTGTTCCTTATAGGTCGACAGTGATGCCGATCGCTTCTCAACTACTATTCCTGGAGAAAACACCGCGTTGAATATTGAGACGGATATGCACTACGTGGCTGGTGTGCCCAGCTCGTTCAGGATTGATCGATTTGATGCAAATATCGAGTGGAAGGGATTCTTTGGATGTATACTGAGTGTGAAACCATCTCAGGTAAGGTCTCATGACCATTAATAAGTAATTACCCCTTGCACCTCTTCAGGAAATTCTCTCACTTTACTGAAAGTAAGGATTGTTCCATTCCGAATTTTTTGGAAAAGTTAAAAATTAGTAGTCATTTCTTTAGTCTAACGCATTTTAGGCATCCGATCTGAATCTGGACCATCCTGTGCGCTGGCAGCGTCGTGAACCCGGCTGCCATTTCAGCGCTGCCAAGTTGGTACCCACTGACCGTCTTGTTGGCTTCTCACGACCTGGTTATCTGCTCCAAAAAGGCGTAATTATGGATAATAATTCAACGTGAGTAGAATATTCACGCGCCTTAATAACTGGCTTACAAAAATTTTGAGAATCAGTAATTTCCTTGCAAACAAAATCAGATTCTTCCATGTCCATGTCTTGCCACCATTCAGTATGTAATTTTTTCAAATTATAGTTTCGGCTTTGGTTTCCGTACTAAGGAAGAGAATGGTACACTTATATTCCAATCGTCAAAGCTGTCAGCTTTTCGCAGAAAGCAGAGAGGAGCAGATAACAACGGAAAGGTACCTGAAAGTTTGAGTTCATATTGCACTTTTATCCATCTATTTGTCACATGACCTCCGTGCGGATATACTCTTTAATTGTAATCCTCAAAAGTTGGAGTAAAGCGATGATTTTGCAGGGTTACATGGCATTCTACCTGTTCCGCGGATATCTCGTGCTGCACTTTGGCAAAGTTGGTTTCGGTCAAACATTTTCTAATCTTAAAGCTTACGATATTTATGTAAAAGTTAAAGAGTAAGAAAAATATAAAGATGAACGATAAGAATACCTATTTTCAATAGCTAAAAAGGAGGTTTTTTTAAAAATACCAATTACATGTTTTCTAGGATGCCTCATCTAGAAAAGAGGTAGTGACTATT